TAAAGATTCGCGTTTCTTTATAAATTCAATATGGCGTTGGTTGTTTGCCAGGTGTGCTCATCGAGGTAGTCGTTCACAGCTTTGTTTGCTTGTCTTTCGAACACTATCTTCTTGCTTCGGAGATTTTGTGATGAAGATGATTGAAGTTCCCAGGAGAACAGTGTCAAATTATGGATGTAAATATGGACGTATTTACATGCACAACAGCGTATTGTTTACACTAGGGTCATTTCTCTCACACCCAATAGTGCAAACACAGCGATGGACAGGATGAGCCAATTACTGATGGATGGTACCTATATATCACCCTACCCATCAGTAGCTGTCAAAATAAGCATGCACCGTGTCATGTTTGAACTACACACTGTGTAATGTACATATCATATTTTATTTCACGGCGTCCTGTCGACCCTGATTGTACATATTACGTCATCCCATCTCAAATGACAACATGGCTTCGAAATTGAATTGTCTTTCCCAGACAGTAGCGAAAACAGTTACAAGTAGGCCTTATAGTCGGGTTTCAGGTTTAGCGACATTGATACACGTGCGGAGGTCGAGTTGTCAGCGATCCGCGGTAAAGACCCAAGGCCAGGTATATTGTTGACTCTGTGTATCAGATGACGATACTGCGGTTGTGTCAACGTCGACCTGACAGATGACACGAGGAGACACAACAACTGATTTCAACCCTCTTTCTCACTGCAGGAGGCACAACACCTGTGTCGACAATTATTACCTATGGTCTACTTAACTTCGTAACGATATATTTAAAAAAACCACATTGTCTACTAAACCAGTCTGGCTTTTACTAACCTGCTGCATATAGAGTTGGGAATTGATTTGATATTCATGAACGTTCCTATCCTTTGTCAACGAAGTGGATGAAACGATCCAATCTTTTCGAAAATAACCGAGGAGTGCCGATTGAAACATAAAGCTGTAATATTATATGATATTTATCAACGCAACCGATACGTATGCATGTTTGGGTGTTATCTGAATAACAAGATAAAAAAAAAACACCCGAAAAAAAGCCAAACAAACAAACAACATTAACAACAATGGACTTTATTATAAGCCTCGAAGATATACCTCTTTGTACCATACATTTATTGATACAGCAAAATCTGTTATTGCTTCGCTTCGCTATCACAATGACTTGTGGTATGATGAACACATCACCACAACGAACACAATTTTTTTTATTACGGTTCAATGTTATAATTTCTTTTTTCCCCTTTAATAGAATACTGTTTCCGGTATCTGGGATTTTTGTATTTAAATTTCAAACCAAGCAATTGATCAATGACATGGGCTGCTCTAGATATGCAAAACTATGTTACCATCGTCTGCTCAAAACAAACAAAACCGGTGATAATGTTTATGTGAAGGATAACCAAGGTCCTGAACCTGGTAGGGTAGTTAAATTTGACATGTTTACCGCTCGTTAATCAAGAACTGCTGAAGTGGTCAGTAATCACTTGAACGACAGTCATTTAGGACGAGTTCGACACAATAACGTCTTATTAATTCATCTTATCACCTGTACTGTGGTGATACGGTAAATCGAAAAGACGCGCCAGGTACCTAAGACAACTGCACGGAGTCGGGAAAGCAGTTCTTAGGAGATAAATTTGATCTCCCGGTTGGAGAGGATATTGAGAAATCTTGGTCCCACGCCGAGAGAAAATTTACTGACACTCCACAGCCAGTCTAATCTCTAAAATCACTTCCCGATCCGGTCACCAGGGGGTTGCTATATAGCGTGACTGCTACACAAACATGGCTTCCAGTTGTCGATAACCTCTGATGTCGTCACTTCTTTCTGAATTATTTATGTACAATAGTGATACATCACAGGTACATGGCGGTTGCGAATGGTCAAATTAGACTCAATTTCTATCTGGCACAGTCTCAACACGCAAAGTTCTTACCAAATACACATCAAGATAGGGTCCCGTAGAGACGAGAAATATGACTATAGTGTTCATGAATGCATGTTCTATTGGCGGTGTATGGCCCCATTGAGACTATTATTTCTGTAATGATATTGCAATGTTCACGAAGGTATCCTTAACTCGATTGCCATGTTATTTATTAATAAATTGCAAACGAAACCGATTTATCTAGTCACGGAAATATTAGCTGCTTTGTCTTTGATAGAAGAACGTGCACGAGGAAGAAGGAAGACAATACTGTACTTATCTCCCACAATTCATTTACGGTTTCGTTTCACTAGTGTCCATAATAACCGGAAGAACTTCAGCCAATAGAGAAGTTATCCAGTTCGTTTTAAAATGCCATCAATATCAACTCGAAGTGTGAAATTATTACAGTCGAACCTCGTTATTTTGGACTTGTTTAATAGGAAGACCCCATTTAACTCGAAGTATTCCGTCTGTCCCGACCAAACTTTTCATCAAACATTCGATCTCACTCGAAATACTCGGATAACTCGAAGTTTTCAAACTGTTCAAACGACATCGAAATAAAGAAGTTCGACTGCACATGAAAATGTAAGCAGCCGCATTCCAATATAAAACATTATTCTGGTTCTCATGTAAACGACAGTGAAATTTCGTCTTTGTAGTACCTTTGTGAGTGATCTGTCCTTGTTTGACAGTTTGCTGTTCTTTATTGCAAGATTAATTCACGAGCACAATAAAGTCGCTAGAAAGAATATATATATATATATACAGATCATATTGGGATAAAAGAAGCGTATTACACATGCTTCTATCATAGAAACAACGCGCATTCACGTAAGCGTAATACACCCTGACCGTAGTGGAAATTCTACACGATCGAGGCGTATTCTGGTAGTAGTCAAATGTTGATCTTGGCATACTCCAATGAAGCATGACCGAATCTGAATCCAACCCAGAGCCTTATACATCTCTACTGAACCGAACTTAACACTCCCAGCCCATGCGTCTCTACTTGATCTGAATTAAACCCAGATTCCCGGAATTCTCTCCTGGACCTGCCCTGACACATGGCTCGAGACGTCGCTACTGAATATGACCTTAAAGCATAGTTCCACTTCAGGATTTTACACTGGTCAAGTCCATTGTTCGTGGTTAACAAAATTATGGTGTTTTTTTTTCAAACCTGCAGATATGTAGGTCATCCATGTTCCATGTACATCGCCATTTTATCCGAGGGTATAGAGTTTAGGTTCAGGATCCAGGCATAGCCTCGATTCTATTCCCTTTTTGACCTTACGGATAGAAAGGTTGACCCTATCAGCGAGTCGCAATGCTTCTGTGGTTTCCAGTATTATTAAATAAGACAATTACAGAATTAATCGTAGTGTGATATACTTAGCAGTTTGGACATTCATCTTGCGAAATAACAACTTTCCGAACATTTCCTCGTGAAACAATAAATTAGCAAACATGATTATTGATTTTTGTTCAGTTCATGGAGTATGCTGATAATTGTATTAAACTTACCAGAAACGATATAGATACCGCTTATGCCAATAAAAAATGTCTGAAAGTAGAGACAATTAATATATTTCTTTCAGGAACGTATTTTATACATGGATCTTAGGATGACACCTTGGTAGGTGTAGCAGCCTATTTGTTATAGTCGCTGCCAAATGACCTATTTAAACCACGTAGCTAACTTATAAATAATGTTCTTTCCCTCCTGACAACTATCGTGACAGGTATATCCTAATTTCATTGCATTCGTTGAACTGTTATTATCTTGATAAGTAAGAACGTGTTGGGCCTAAATTTGCAATTTGTTTTCATTCATTTTTTGATATCTATATATTACACCTGTCGACTTTTATGTTTCATTTATTTCGCCTTCAGTTTCTTTGAGTAGAGATTTTATATTTGGGGATATTTCGTTATGTAACACTCGTAATCCTGACGTAAAACTGGATTAATTTAGCCTACTTACCCAAGAGTGATGTACACAATTTTGCACCGTCACGACTCTAATTGTGTCCGTTCAGGTTTACGAGACGACGAATGAGTAAAACAGATTACCCAACTCGTGTCTGATGATACACCTTGTTATCACTTTAATCGTCTCCGTGATTTAATTGTCAGGGAGCTGTCGTTTCGTTTCATTTCTGTGCAGCCCCCCACACCAAACAATAGTCGGTCCAATCTGGACTATATATAGTTGGAGCTTGCTCGTGGACTAGGGAAGGGGCGGGGATGGGGTTCAGAGGTGCCCAGTTTCTTCTTGTGCAAACCAGACATCAAATTGTCATAACGTCTGGTCTAGTGAACAACACTAAGCTGTTCATGCAATAAAGCACTGAAGAATATTTTTAGTAGCTCGACGCCCATTGATTAATGGCGGTGTAATTTTCGAAGTGCTGGCATTCATAAAATGATAAATGTCACAACACTCAGATACCTATAACCATAAATATAAAGGTACTGTCTTGTGCAGTATTTGTTCAGTATAGAAAGGCCAAGTAGAGTCGTCTACAGTATCATATATAACTCGTACCATTGACAAACATAGAAGTAAGAGACGCGCTCGGCTACGCCACCAGGCGTAATCATTAGGGTCGCTGATTAGGGTTGGATTTCAATTAGATAACATTAGTGAAGTAAGTAGACTTAGTATTGTTCAGTGTACTTTATCATAGTTCACAGGAAATTCAACTCAATTTACAATCATCGTCGTATCACATGCTAGTGACACTAAACAGTCATTGTCATAAAGCGACAATGAGACACAAAGTCAACATGTTGAAGGTTAGCGTAAGGCAGAATCCAACTGGACTTTGAATACTAGTAGATAACGTAGTGTTATGATATTGTGTATGTGGTGACGGTGTACGAATGTACTTTGTATGCATACAACAGTTTATTTTTCTCAATGGACGGCGTTTGAAGTAGTTTTTGTTGATGTAAAATACCAGACTCAGGAGAAGTAAAAACAGGCTCGATTTCAAGCAAGACTTTTGTTGGAAATTCGTTTCATATAAAACAAACATTATTATTGAAGCTTCTTTTTCAGTGTTATGAAATGACGATTCCTGTTACTGTTATAGGCATTGTTTTGCTGGGGTGTGGGATAGCAATGGCGAGCCGGGATGTTTGGGGGATAGCAATGGCGGGCCTGGATGTTTGAGGGATAGCAATGGCGGGCCGGGATGTTTGTGGGATAGCAATGGCGAGCCGGGATGTTTGTTTAATAGCAATGGCGAGCCGGGATGTTTGTGGGATAGCAATGGCGAGCCGGGATGTTTGTGGAATAGCAATGGCGAGCCGGGATGTTTGTGGGGTAACAATGGCGAGCCGGGATGTTTGTGGGATAGCAATGGTGAACCGGGATGTTTGTTGGATAGCAATGGTGAGCCGGGATGTTTGGAGGATAGCAATGGTGAGCCGGGATGTTTGTGGGATAGCAATGGCGAGCCGGGATGTTTGTGGAATAGCAATGGCGAGCCGGGATGTTTGTGGGATAACAATGGCGAGCCGGGATGTTTGTGGGATAGCAATGGTGAACCGGGATGTTTGTTGGATAGTAATGGTGAGCCGGGATGTTTGTGGGATAGCAGTGGTGATCCGGGATGTTTGTGGGATAACAATGGTGAGCCGGGATGTTTGTGGGATAGCAATGGTGAGCCGGGATATTTGGGGGATATCGGTGGCGAGCCGGGATGTTTTGGGGATAGCAATGGCGAGCCGTGTTGTTTGTGGGATAGCAATGGCGAGCCGGGATGTTTGTGGGATAGCAATGGTGAGCCGGGATATTTGGGGGATATCGGTGGCGAGCCGGGATGTTTTGGGGATAGCAATGGCGAGCCGTGTTGTTTGTGGGATAGCAATGGCGAGCCGGGATGTTTGTGGAATAGCAATGGCGAGCCGGGATGTTTGTGGGGTAACAATGGCGAGCCGTGATGTTTGTTGGATAGCAATGGTGAACCTGGATGTTTGTTGGATAGCAATGGTGAGCCGGAATGTTTGGGGGATAGCAATGGTGAGCCGGGATGTTTGTGGGATAGCAATGGCGAGCCGGGATGTTTGTGGAATAGCAATGGCGAGCCGGGATGTTTGTGGGATAACAATGGCGAGCCGGGATGTTTGTGGGATAGCTATGGTGAACCGGGATGTTTGTTGGATAGTAATGGTGAGCCGGGATGTTTGTGGGATAGCAGTGGTGATCCGGGATGTTTGTGGGATAACAATGGTGAGCCGGGATGTTTGTGGGATAGCAATGGTGAGCCGGGATATTTGGGGGATATCGGTGGCGAGCCGGGATGTTTTGGGGATAGCAATGGCGAGCCGTGTTGTTTGTGGGATAGCAATGGCGAGCCGGGATGTTTGTGGGATAGCAATGGTGAGCCGGGATATTTGGGGGATATCGGTGGCGAGCCGGGATGTTTTGGGGATAGCAATGGCGAGCCGTGTTGTTTGTGGGGTAACAATGGCGAGCCGTGATGTTTGTTGGATAGCAATGGTGAACCTGGATGTTTGTTGGATAGCAATGGTGAGCCGGAATGTTTGGGGGATAGCAATGGTGAGCCGGGATGTTTGTGGGATAGCAATGGCGAGCCGGGATGTTTGTGGAATAGCAATGGCGAGCCGGGATGTTTGTGGGATAACAATGGCGAGCCGGGATGTTTGTGGGATAGCTATGGTGAACCGGGATGTTTGTTGGATAGTAATGGTGAGCCGGGATGCTTGGGGGATAGCAGTGGTGATCCGGGATGTTTGTGGGATAACAATGGTGAGCCGGGATGTTTGTGGGATAGCAATGGTGAGCCGGGATATCTGGGGGATATCGGTGGCGAGCCGGGATATTTTGGGGATAGCAATGGCGAGCCGGGATGTTTGTGGGATAGCAATGGCGAGCCGGGATGTTTGTTGGATAGCAATGGCGAGCCGGGATGTTTGTGGGATAGTAATGGTGAACCGGGATGTTTGTTGGATAGCAATGGTGAGCCTGGATGTTTGTTGGATAGCAATGGTGAGCCTGGATGTTTGTGGGATAGCAATGGCGAGCTGGAATGTTTGTGGGATAGCAATGGCGAGCCGGGATGTTTGTGGGATAGCAATGGCGGGCCAGGATGTTTGTGGGATAGCAATAGCGAGCCGGGCTGTTTGTGGAATAGCAATGGCGAGCCGTGTTGTTTGTGGGATAGCAATGGCGAGCCGGGATGTTTGTGGTATAGCAATAGCGAGCCGGGATGTTTGTGGAATAGCAATGGCGAGCCGGGATGTTTTTGGAATGGAAATGGCGAGCCGGGATGTTTGTGGGATAGCAATGGCGAGCCGGGATGTTTGAGGAATAGCAATGGCGAGCCGTGATGTTTGTGGGATAGCAATGGCGAGCCGGGATGTTTGTGGAATAGCAATGGTGAGCCGGGATGTTTGGGGGATAGCAATGGTGAGCCGGGATGTTTGTGGGATAGCAATGGTGATCCGGGATGTTTGTTGGATAACAATGGCGAGCCGGGATATTTGGTGGATAGCTATGGGGAGCCGGGATGTTTGGGAGATAGCAATGGCGAGCCGGGATGTTTGTGGGATAGCAATGACGAGCCGTATGTTTTGGGGATAGCAATGGCGAGCCGGGATGTTTGTGAGATAGCGATGGTGAGCCGGGATGTTTGGTGGAATAGCAGTGGAGAGGACGGGATGTTTGTTGGATAGCAATGGTGAGCCGGGATATTTGGGGGATATCGGTGGCGAGCCGGGATGTTTTGGGGATAGCAATGGCTAGCCGGGATGTTTGTGGGATAGCAATGGCGAGCCGGGATGTTTGTGGGATAGCAGTGGCGGGGCCGGGATGTGTGTCGGACAGCACAAGCGTGGCCGAGATGTTGCAAGTGCCCCGTTCTTACAGCTGTTGAGTTCCTTGTTGTAGTAATTTGTTTTTGTTTTAGACAAATTTAAGTGCACCAATTATCCCGTCAGAACTAATCTCCAGGTTTTTATGTGGCTAGTACATCAACGAGCGGTCATTTACGATCCTGTATTGTGTTTCAGAAGCTGAGGATACAAACTGCCGTCTCTTTGATCCAAAAAAACATCTGTAGAATCTCCGGGCCAATTTTGACAGGGGGTCATCTTTGAATTTCTTTGAAGTATCAAAAGTTCTAAAAATACTCTGGAAAATTATCCTGATATACAAATGCAGCTGACTGAACTAATTTGTGTGAAAACCTATTTGGTTTCGTTTGACCTTGCTATCGGTTATAACCATCACACCAGAGATAAAAAGACCTGTGTTAAACCACTGCGACTCAGAGCAAGGCCATGGACGTTTGAGATTCAACATCTGTTAGTAAATCAACATAAACTGGTGTGTGAAAAATAATTTTGACATACTTATAATAATCGTTACTTCAGGCATGATATATCTATTGAACTAACTTTTAATAACTTGCAATGCGCATGCCCAACAAATGCAATGTACTTTAAGATTATAATTAAATTATGAACTGTAGATATATAGATATGATATCATTACACTTCGCTACGCTGCGTACATTTTACTTGAAAATAATAAAAAAAACCTTTCTGACTCGTTTGCTTTTCATATCAAAGATTTTATGCACTTGTACGTCTCCTCCTGTAGGTCAAGGTCAACTTGATAGGCTGCTAAGATTACGTAAACAAATACTTAGCTTCAGTGGCTGCACTCTAACAACAAGGTCAAGGTTGTAGACGACCATTGTAAACGCTAGTAACTTCTAAGTAAATTATCAATTACGGCTCAAGTCTACAACATGTTTTATTTTTCTTTCAATTAACCTTGTTTTAGTTATATACCGACTTTTAAGCACTTCATAGTGAAATGTTCACTGTGCTTGCTTCTTACAAGATTTTAATACACTTATTCTTTTATCGGAATAAAAGATACACGAAGCTTTGTTTTTTTCTATTCAACCCTAATATGTGCTCGAAATTGCACTAGCATGAAGGATGATGTGAAAATCAATCACTTTAGCAATCCATTTGATGTGACAATCCATCACTGTAGCAATCCATTTGATGTGAAAATCCATCACTGTAGCAATCCATTTGATGTGACAATCCATCACTGTAGCAATCCATTTGATGTAAAAATCAATCACTGTAGCAATCCATTTGATGTAAAAATCAATCACTGTAGCAATCCATTTGATGTGACAATCCATCACTGTAGCAATCCATTTGATCACTGTAGCAATCCATTTGATGTGACAATCCATCACTGTAGCAATCCATTTGATGTGACAATCCATCACTGTAGCAATCCATTTGATGTGACAATCCATCACTGTAGCAATCCATTTGATGTGACAATCCATCACTGTAGCAATTCATTTGATGTGACAATCCATCACTGTAGCAATTCATTTGATGTGAAATCAATCACTTTAGCAATCCATTTGATGTGACAATCCATCACTTTAGCAATCCATTTGATGTGACAATCCATCACTGTAGCAATCCATTTGATGTGAAATCAATCACTTTAGCAATCCATTTGATCACTGTAGCAATCCATTTGATGTGACAATCAACCACTCTAGCAATCTATTTGATGTGACAATCCATCACTGTAGCAATCCATTTGATGTGAAATCAATCACTTTAGCAATCCATTTGATCACTGTAGCAATCCATTTGATGTGACAATCAACCACTCTAGCAGTCTATTTGATGAAACCAACAACATCCGATCTATCTAATTGAATTCATTAGAAAAGGCAATCAATCGGTTTTGATATAAAGAAACAACCCTTCGGTCCCTAAGTCAATATTATTGGAGCAAGGCAGGGGATAACACCTAGAGTTTTAATTAGTAAATGAAGCATGAACGTTTTAAAATTGGAAGCAAAACCAATGCAATTTGTTTCTTTTGTACAATTTCGAACAATATGACGCTTGGTATTCCTACATATCTTTGGACTGTATGACGCTTAGTTATTTGTTAAACCTATGACAAAATCAGACTTGTTTCATTGTATACCCTCAGACTATACGACGCTTGGTCTTCCTGTGTAACTTTAAACAATAAGACGCTTTGTCGTTTTGTATAACATTGAACAATACGACGCTTGGTCTTTTTGTATAACTTTAAACCATTCGACGCTTGGTCTTCCTGTGTAACTTTAAACAATATGACGCTTGGTCTTCCTGTGTATCTTTAAACAATACGACGCTTAGTCTTCCTGTGTAACTTTAAACAATACGACGCTTGGTCTTCCTGTGTAACTTTAAACCATACGACGCTTGGTCTTCCTGTGTAACTTTGAACAATACGACGCTTGGTCTTCCTGTGTAACTTTAAACAATACGACGCTTGGTCTTCCTGTGTAACTTTGAACAATACGACGCTTGGTCTTCCTGTGTAACTTTAAACAATATGCTGCTTGGTCTTCCTGTGTAACTTTAAACAATATGCTGCTTGGTCTTCCTGTGTAACTTTAAACCATACGACGCTTGGTCTTCCTGTGTAACTTTAAACCATACGACGCTTGGTCTTCCTGTGTAACTTTAAACAATACAATCTTTCTGTATAACTTTGGATTATGTATGACGTTTGATCTTTCTGTATAACTTTGGATTATGTATGACGTTTGTATAACTTTGGATTATGTATGACGTTTGTCTTTCTGTATAACTTTGGATTATTCGCTTGATCTTTCTGTATAACTTTGGATTATGTATGACGTTTGATCTTTCTGTATAACTTTGGATTATGTATGACGTTTGATCTTTCTGTATAACTTTGGATTATGTATGACGCTTGGTCTTTCTGTATAACTTTGGATTATGTATGACGTTTGATCTTTCTGTATAACTTTGGATTATGTATGACGTTTGATCTTTCTGTATAACTTTGGATTATGTATGACGTTTGATCTTTCTGTATAACTTTGGATTATGTATGACGTTTGGTCTTCCTGTGTAACTTTAAACAATACAATCTTTCTGTATAACTTTGGATTATGTATGACGTTTGATCTTTCTGTATAACTTTGGATTATGTATGACGCTTGGTCTTCCTGTGTAACTTTAAACAATATGCTGCTTGGTCTTCCTGTGTAACTTTAAACAATATGCTGCTTGGTCTTCCTGTGTAACTTTAAACAATACAATCTTTCTGTATAACTTTGGATTATGTATGACGTTTGATCTTTCTGTATAACTTTGGATTATGTATGACGCTTGGTCTTTCTGTATAACTTTGGATTATGTATGACGCTTGGTCTTTCTGTATAACTTTGGATTATGTATGACGCTTGGTCTTTCTGTATAACTTTGGATTATGTATGACGTTTGATCTTTCTGTATAACTTTGGATTATGTATGACGTTTGATCTTTCTGTATAACTTTGGATTATGTATGACGTTTGATCTTTCTGTATAACTTTGGATTATGTATGACGCTTGATCTTTCTGTATAACTTTGGATTATGTATGACGCTTGGTCTTTCTGTATAACTTTGGATTATGTATGACGCTTGGTCTTCCTGTGTAACTTTAAACAATACAATCTTTCTGTATAACTTTGGATTATGTATGACGTTTGATCTTTCTGTATAACTTTGGATTATGTATGACGTTTGATCTTTCTGTATAGCTTTGGATTATGTATGACGCTTGGTCTTTCTGTATAACTTTGGATTATGTATGACGTTTGATCTTTTTGTATAACATTGAACAATACGACGCTTGGTCTTCCTGTGTAACTTTAAACAATATGACGCTTGGTCTTCCTGTGTAACTTTAAACAATACGACGCTTGGTCTTCCTGTGTAACTTTAAACAATACGACGCTTGGTCTTCCTGTGTAACTTTAAACAATACTGCCTTCCTGAAAAGTTGTACTCTCATACGACGTTTTATAGCTGATGGTTCAGGCCTTGGAGATGTTTGACCAATACACTAACAGTGTTAACAGGTCAGTGTTGGGTTCTAACCCCGATAAGTCACGTCAGTATGTGTTTATTACGGACACTCTACATAACACGTATGTTTCACCTGGGAGGTCTCCACTGTCCGAACCAATAACTTTAATCCTTTCCACGACAATGATTATCTGTCAATTGACAGATCTGTGCATCTTTTCTATATCTCCATAGATACTGACCCAACGACAAAGGGCAGTGCAATGTGTGTCCAAATGATTCAAATTCCTGAATATATTTTCTAAGGGAGAAAGAAGGCAACAGCGCTTCGTGGTTGAAAAGCGACAATTATAGATCATTATTGTGTTGTAGCGCCACAACAAAAGATAATTCTACAAAGCCGCAAACATGGTTTTAGTAAGTCTAGTAGATGTCGACAGATTTCTCAAAACACTGCATCGTTATTTTAGTTCGTCATATACTAAAAAATCTTATTCATGTTGCTATACCTTTTGTTTTGGTCTAGGATAACATGTTTATTCGTTCTATACAAAATACTGAAAGTATGCGGTTCAGAGAAAGACAGAGGCATCGACGAATGAAATGGTAGGCGAGACATACAACAGCAACGAGGCAAAGAGTAGATACACGACATTCTGCAGAAAAGTTGTAATCAAATTAAGTTTCTTTGCTATCCAATTCATATTGCGATAATTTCTACAGGACGTTGGTGTAAATATTTTCTACACTTCTCGACACAGTATTAAAGGACGCATCTGAAGTTTAGACGTATATATAACATGTGATATATATCTCTGTCTGTAGTAAATTGCTGTAGTGTTTACAGTCATGATTTCCCTTGTATCTACCTAG